CGGCAGCATCCACGCCACGCTGGTGTCAGCGTGGGTTTGCTGCCCACGTCTTATTAAAAATACACCCACCACCTTTTCGCACACAGCAGTGAAATCGTTGTGTTTCACGATCTCAGCTGTCACTGCTCCATGTGGTACTTCAGCCTCTGCTCACTGGATTTTAATGACATCTGTCTGGCACGGGGCCTCTCTTCACCCTCCTCCCCGTGTCAGGAAAAGCGAAGCAGTTGTTGGAAGCGTGCTGGAGGCTTTGCAGAACAAAGAGGGACAGTCCTTGCCCTAAGGAGTGTAAGACGTTGGTTTAGATCTATTGCAACAAAGTCGGGTGTGCACAAAGCAGGCCAGAAAGAGAAGCTGCAGTGAACTGGACTGCAGCACTTGGAAGGCAAGATCCTGCCTGCAAGTTTTGCTGAAAAATGTTTTGTTGTGTTTTGCTTCCTTAGAGCACTACGGTCCTCCTCCCCAGGAACACACGGGACAGGCAAGGAATTGAGGTGGGGAAGAGCATTTTGGGTTCAGCTGCAGCAGTGCCCAGATGCTCCAGTCCTGCCCCACTGCTCATGGTATGCTGAGCACAGTGTCTTACAGTAAGGTCTGTGGGGGACTGCTGGAGAAGGGACAAAAAGGGGCCTGAGCCAGCATCAGGGGCCACAAAGAAGGGCTGGAGGTCACGTATAAGAGGGCAGGTCAGGCAGGAAGGAAGGAAGCAAAGGAGCAAGGTAGAAGCTCGAAAGCAAGGACGCAAGCATTAAACTTGCTTCAGTGTGGGAGCAGTGAGCAGAAGGGTTCAGATCAGCAGGTCAAGAAGATAATTTTAGCTCATAATTTAAAGGACTTGGAGCCAGCTGTGTGCACGCCAAAGAGGCCAGCAAGTAAAAGCAGGAGATAAAAGATTCTGCACGGAGTCACAAACAGAGCTGCTAACCTAAGGAAAAGGTTACCTTCTGGATATGTGCTAGGAAAAGCTCCCAGCATTTACACACTTCTTAGATGCACAAAGAGAAAGAAGGGAAGGAGTCACTGACTAGTTGCAAGACTTAATGGTGAGGAAGACAGTGGCATTGCTTGTGGCATTGGCAGTGCCATGTCTTGTTGCAGAGGGCTGAAACCTGCTGTCAGTGTGCCCGCTGTGGGCCGAGGGTCTGGGAGACAGCAGGAGCAAAGCCAGTGGTGCTGTGGTAAGGAGTGGGTTTATGCACAGAGCAGCTGGAGAAAGCCTACTTCATATGGACAGAGCTCGTGGTTGGATTCTCTGCTGCCTGTTCAGATGCAAACGTCCTCTCCTGTTTGGGCACAGGTGACACCTCTCCTGTGGGGAGTCATGAGCATCTGATGAGATGCGGAACAAGGTGTGAGATCATGTTGCATCATCTCCCTCATGAAGGGACTGGCACAGTTTCCTCCTTTTGTGCTCAGACTCCTGTTTTCACAAAAGTCACAGGATATTTAGAATTCTGGATGCTCTTCCTCTCCGCTGAACTGGATTCACAAGTTACAGGGGTGCACAGACAGACCTGGAGCGGCACATACAGACCTTCGCAGACACTGCGAGTTCCCAAAACTCCCTTTTTCTGGGAAGCCAAGCTCAGGTCTCCCGCTGCCGTCTCGCCTGGCACGCAGGGCAGGGCCGGCCGTGCATTCCTGGCGGCTGAAGTCAGCGGGAGCGGAGGACGCCCGGCACCCCCGGGAGCGGCACTTTTTTTAACCCCGCCACACCGAGCACCCACCTCAGCCCTCGAGACTCTTACATGGGCAGGCAAGAGTCCTAAGTAAGCACAAAAATCTTGAAGTCACAAAGAAACAAAAAAAAACAGGAAAAAGCGCTTCAAAGAGGGAAAGTCCCGAGAGCTGAGTTTTACCTGCGGAGGGAAACCTCCCTCGGCTCCTCCCGGGAGCAGCACAGCCCGAAACTGGAGCTCAGAACATGTGTGTGCTGGGCAGAGAACAGAAGGGGCACAGCAGTGGTGGCACGAAGGCAGCACTGCCCTGGGAACACCTCAGGAACACGGCGGCTGCGGCCGGGCTGACATACCCCCCCCCCAGCAGGGGCGAGCACGTAAGGAGCACCGAGCTATACCACAGCTGAGATGCAGCTCCCAGACACCTGCAGCCATGGAAACTGGTCTGCCAGCATGGAGCAGCTCTACCATCAGGACTCCAACCCCACTGTGCCTTTCCACCACACTCTTCTTCACCGGGCTCATGAGCAGCCTGCATTCCCCTCTCCCACCCTCCTCCCACCGGAGCACTGCTCTGCGAGCAGGAGCTCTTACAGCAGCAAACTCAAACCGCCAGCCCCAAATCACTACACGATGAAACAAAGCAGCAGCAAACAGCTGAACCAACTGCCCCTTAATCCCCTAAAGCAGAGGTCCATCTGCAGCAGTCCATTAGAGACTTACCCCTTCCACACTCTCCCTCCGGTACCACAGCTGTCCCCTCCATTCCTGTAGCCAGGGCTCCTGGAGCAGCAGTATTTATA